CCATTAGATTTGTGATATATGTTTACATGTTCCACATTGAATTGATAAGCATATGTTTTATTATAAAGCCAAGCAAAGGTTTATTTCTCAAACATAAAACTTATTATTTTAGTGTTCACTTTAAGACTGTAGCAATATTTTGTTTTAAAAATTAACCAGTTCACTATCATAAAAACATAAAACGCACTTCTTATGTCAAACTAGTTTATTTCTTTAAAAAAGTAATATGAAGACTTCTCCAGGTATTAAACAGGTAGGAAGGTGCGTGAGATTTAGAATGTATTTTATATTTTAATGTCATAGCTGTTAACAAATGGCAAGTAAGCAGAATTCCTTTTGCAGGAACTGACAGAGCCACTGTCTTTCATTGAGGTATACTCAAATATATGGAAATCAAGCTTCAAAATAATAGTACATTTAACAGTGATTTAGAGGTTTTTTTCCTGTGTGTATGATAAAAAAAACCCAAGATTTATGTTCATAAATCTAATTTGCCCTTTAAAATAACAGAGAATTTACTGTCTTGATATTTTTCCTGCTAGTCTGGGACACATTGAGTTTTGAGTAAAGATCCAGATAGTAAGTAGCCTTGTCATTGTAGGGTGGACAGGATTTGTGGCAGCCTTTCAGCTTGACTGCTGAACCTTGGCTACTCAAAGACAGCTTGGCAACAAATAGCTCTGGGTGTATTCCAATTTAAGTGTGTTCTAATTTAATTTTTCTGGGGCTTGCAAAGCCCTGGTCTAGAGAAATGAAAGCCTTGAGACTAACAGTGTGCTGTGAAACTTTATTAATTCTGGAGTAAAACTATTTCTTCATATCTCCCTAATTTTAACCAAAAAATTATGTAACTTTCATATTCAGCTTTTCTTTCTTCATAAAAAATAATTGGAAATAAATATTTAATATGATTTTCTTTAATCGATTTTCAAATAAGTAACATATTTATCTTAATATGGGTCATTATAAGGCTACATGATTGGATTAACTTTGGGTTATTGGTGGTGACATCATCATTTTTTCCCCTAGAACTTGTAAATAGAAGACATTCATTAACTAAAAAGTACCTTGTTGAAAGTGCATGTTAGTAACTGAATAAGGTTGTTTTGACTTATCTGTCCAATTAATCATCACAAAAAGAGATTGAGAGATTATAAGAGATAAGCAGGTAGAGCGAGACAGAGGAAGAGAGACAGTGAATCAGTCAGAGACTACAGAGACAGACATTGAGACTGAAAGGAAGTGAGAATGACCCAGAGACTAGCAAGTAAAGAGACCGTCAGGTGGAGAGGTGAGAGACAACCAGAGACAGCCTGGGACGCACAGACAGGAGATGCAAACGGAGAGACAGCCTGGGACACACAGACGGGAGATGCAAACGGAGAGACAGCCTGGGACGTACAGACGGGAGATGCACACGGGAAGACAGCCTGGGATGCACAGAGGGGAGATGCAAATGGAGAGACAGCCTGGGACGCACAGACAGGAGATGCAAACGGAGATACAGCCTGGGACACACAGATGGGAGATGCAAACGGGGAGACAGAGAGAGAGAACAAGTCACAAGTGAGAGAACAAGGCAGAAATACAGACAGGGAGAGACAGAGTGAGAGTTAGAGAATAATGGAGGGTAGAGATAGACATCAACACACACACTGAGACAGACAAGGGCAGAAATAAACACTGACAGGCACAGAGCAAGAAACAGGCAAACCACGAGAGACAGAGAGACAGAGACGGTCAGACTGACCCAAGAGACAGATGAGGTGACAGGAAAGAGAACTAGAGAGAGAGGAATCTACAGAGTCCAGAAATCTTAAGGCAGATGGATAAACACTGAGGTAGATGAACACACAGACACGCATGGAGACAGATGTAGACAGACATACTCAGAGGTGAACTCAGAGACTGGGAAAGGAGCAACGTGGGCAGAGGCAGAGCAGGAGAGAGACAGAGACTGACGCCCAGAGGCTGAGGCCGGCACAAGAGTCACAGAAAGACAAGTCTGTAAATGAGAATCTTCTAAAATGGCAGATTTCTTTTTTTATTTACAATGAATGAAATAAGAAACATTAATAGTTGTCACCAATATATAGGAGCTGTCATGCACTATATGATTTGAATATAATATCTATGTCCATATGACATAAACTCAGTTATTCACTTTACATTGCTTTGCTCATTATTTCTTTTTTAAAGTGAACTACAATTCTCACACTGGATAAAGGCTGATTGTTATTGCAGTTCTACTAACTTATGCATAAAAACAAGTGAATTTTGATGCTGCGCTGCATGATTAAGGCTTTCTGCATACAATTTATGTTACTGTCTTGAGCATGAATCTAAACATATTAGAAAACCTTAGTATTATGCTGGTGTGTTTTTGAAGTTAAGAATAAAAAATATTTAAGTATATTTGAATGCTAAATTGCATGGTGATTTTTAATGTATGTAGTTTATATTCTTTTCTTGAGTAGAGATACAAGGATTGATCTTATTCTAGGTTGGAAAATACTATTTTTGAGGTTCTTTCAAGGTAAAGTATATTATAATACAAAATATTTAAGTGCACTTTTTTAAGCTGGAGAAGTTGAAAACTTCACATTTTGAATATATAACTGTTTTGTTACTGTTGAATGTAGTTCATTTTAAATGTTTTATTTCTTCATATACTTCATCATTAAATAGTTAATTAAAAGTTAGTTAATTAAGTCAGATTAACACATGGGAGAACTCTTGCAGTGAACTTTTGAAAAGGTAATGCAGGATGTAAGATGCATTCGTGCATGAACTCACCTAGTGCCCAGGCAGAGGATAGCATCCAAGGTCACTGCCAGCCCAGGTGGTGCTTTGATGCCCAGTGGGAGGGCAGGCACGTCCGTTCTGGGTGAATGCAGCCCTGGGAGCAGAAGGATAAGTAGAACTTTTTCCCCATTTAGAAGCAAGTGGTAATTGTGAGAGTATGATATTAGAATTGCTAACATTAACACATTGCTTTCTGCACTTTTTGTGTATATAATCTCACAGATTATCACCAGAAATAACCAAGCCATGATCAGTCTCACGCCAAAGCTGGGGCTAGGGTTGAGCTTGGAAAGATATGGGTAGGTGCTTTCTCAGTTTCAAGAACTGGCTGCTGGGAAAAAAAAATCGTCTACCAATTCTACATTGGTGTCTACAGCTTGTTTTATTGTCTGATACATTTTCATGTTTTACCTTTTTTGACTGTGCTATGGTTAATATTTATTTTGTCCCGATTCTCCTTGAATAACAGGTGAGAAGCCATATGGTTCATTTGTCTCATTCTACAAGTGTAACCTTAGCTGTAGCTCTGACATTCTTAAAAAATTTTCACATTTGCTGAGTCTGTTTCTCTCCAACAGTTTGGCAGTTCTGTTGTGAGGAGCCACAACTTTATATTTGCCTTGGCTCCAGACTTGTAAAAGAACTGTTGTGTAGAAATGTGTTAGTAGAATTCAAGAACTTTGCACAGATTGAGTCACTATTTTGGAAATACATTAAAACAGATTGACCTGAATATCTATGTCAGTTCTGTCATTTCTCCCTAGGGTTTGACTATTTCCACAGAGATACATGCTTGGTTGTTTTCATAATGATTACTGTACAACTTGATCCTGATTTATAGCTTGTCTAAAACCCTTCTCTAAGCCAGTAGTCCACACTAGGCTCACTAGAACCCGTGAGCATTTGCTCCTGCTGTAATGGGAGACACCTGTTTGTTTCTAACATTTCCTGCCTTCAGTGAGGACTCTTTACCTTACTTAGTTATCTGGTGATTCCTTAATTTTTTGTTTTCTTTCTACCTTTCCTTATGAGATGTGAGACAGCCTTGGTCTGGCTTCTCATAGACCAAAAGGAAAAAAACATATTTTTTTTTTTTTTTGCCATTTACAAAAACTCTAACTTTGAAGTTTCTTCTTACATTGACTTTGTGACCGTAGAAACTATTTGCTTGTGTGTAAGCATACAGAGTACCTTAAGTTGCTTATCAAAACGTTTTGTAGCACTCTTCCTGGTTCCTCTCAGATTCTCTTAACTTCTTTTAGAGTATGGTTGGTGTACATAGTTTCAAGTTATAATATGCTGTAGATGAGGATAGAAATAGATCAAATTAAATTATATCATCAAATGTATATACGAACATCCACATTTTATATTAAGATTTAAACCAAGTATATTAAACAAACAAATCCACATTTTATATTAAGATTTAAACCAAGTATATTAAACACTGTAGGCAAATTTAGATTGATAGTGTGTATTTTTAAATGGAGTGACAGGTCTGGTTTTTGTAGTGAAAGAAAAGCATCTAGTATTATTACAAGCATTAACTAAAGCATTGTGAAGTGTTTGTGATTTTTGAAAAAAGGTCCTTTGAATTAACTCAAAATTAGTAAAATTATTCTAAGTATCGGACACTGACCAATTTTTAAAGAGTATTTTTGAATAATCAGTTAATCTTAGCTAACATTTATTGCACATCTGCTACGTTCCAGTGTCCACTCTAGTAACACACTTAGTTCTTACCATAGCCTGGTGGTGCAGTGATACCAATAAGTTAGTGACTGATCCCACAGTCTTATTTTATTTGTGTTTTATTTTAAATGTGTTTTACTATCTCAAAAGTAAGCAGTTTACCTTTTGATACTATCTTCAAAATGAATGTAATATAATATCTCTTCTGCATTTATTTTGTACTATAACTTTCTATTGTAATGCAACAGGGATGCTCATTATATTTCAGAATGTAGAATGGGTAATTTTTTGAGCAGTCTATGAATAATATTCCAAAACTAGTTTTAGAATAGTTACTGAAAATAGAACTTAAAATGGTCCTATCTTATATAACATCTTAAGTGGAAAGTTTTCACAGATATTTCATTGGAGTCAGTCTGTTTGAGATGGTGTTTTTCCTTGATGTTCAATTTATGAATTATGCTTTGTATTTATTCTTCACTGTGTACCGTTCTGTGGCATAGATTTCCTTGCTGAAACAGAATCTGGAAATACAGCTTTCCCAGTCCCAGACTTCTTTGCAGCAACTGCAGGCCCAGTTTACACAGGAGCGACAACGGCTTACACAAGAGCTTGAAGAATTGGAGGAACAACATCAGCAAAGACATAAATCCTTAAAAGAAGCACATGTCCTTGCGTTTCAAACCATGGAGGAAGAAAAGGAAAAGGAACAAAGGGTAAGTTTAATGTAACTTAACAGCTCAATGACAGTCCAACCCCAAATTGATAGGAATTTATTGTATGCCTCAAAATGAACTCTTATTTTATTTAAATGTGTTTTCCAGGGTTTGACTTACCTGTAGGTATTGTAGTGTAGTGTAGTGTGCGCATTATACACTGTAATAGAATAGGCTCAACATTTCGATTCTGTTCCCCATCAATACTGACAAGTCCTTTATGAAACTAGTATATTGTCTGGTTTGTTATACAGGTTACTCAAAAACACTTTGTGGGAACATGAGATTAAAATATGTTTACTATAGTACAAAACACTGAGAGATTCTAAGGTGGCTCAATGGGGAGAAGATGTGCTAATTTTGACCACAGTAAAAAACCAGAAAAACAGGAGGATGTACATTCCTGGGAGATAGTTGGAGAGAAGTTTTCAATGAAAGATCTACAGAAAGAGGGGAGACTGTGTACAGCAAGGGCTGTGCTGACAGGCAGTACCAAGCAGGACACCAGAATAAGGAGAGTGGAGACTGCAGTGGCCCACAATTCTGAGGGATTTGATCAGAGAATAATCTGCAGTCCACCCTGACTATGAGTCCAGGCAGGCAGGCTAGGGTGGGGACGGGGTGCCCATTTAGCGATGTGAACATGGGGGTATATTGCTTCCCCTCCAAGGTGCCTAGCTCAGGGATGGAGTGGCTCTCTCGTTGGTTGGGAAGCTCTCAGGGTAGAGAGTTGATCCCCAATAGCAGTGACTGGGACTCCTGTGACGTTGTGATAGCCAGGAAACCGCTAAGGGCCTTGGTCTTTGAGGCAGATACTGAACTGGGAATGGACGACACGAGCTTCATGTTCAGACTGTGGAGCACATAAATTCTCTGTGCAATTCATGTGTGTCTGTGAGTAGGGATAAGAGGTGCAGACGTGGAGAGCCTCACCTTGGCACAGAACAGGGTGGAGGCAGTAATCACGTAAACTGAGGCTGTCATGCCCTCTCTCCTTCCGACTGTGGAGGAATGTTACCATGCATAATCTGGGGTTACCCTGGGCTTCTGTGCCACCCACAAATCCTGGCCGGAGCTCCCGAGCCACACATTTAAAAGAACCATGGAAGCCTGAGCACCAGACTCACTATAAGGTAAAAGATTTCCCTAGCTTGAAGACAAAAGCTTTTGAAATCTCAGGGGGGAGGAAAAAAGGTAAGGAAAAAATGTTCAAAATTTGTGGGATATCATCAAAGTATGCATGGCTTAGGTATCCCTAAAGGAGTAGAAAGGCACATTGACTTAGGAAGTTTATTCAAATATTGAAAATAGTACAAGAAATTTCTCTAATTTGGACAAAGATGCACATCCAAGTACAGGAAGCACATAGAATCTCAAATAGGCACAATCAGAAAGGGCCTCACTACAGCACATTATGTTCAAACTTTCAAACATAAAACACAAAGAATCCTAAAATGTGCGTGGGAGAAGTGAAAGATTACCTTTAAAGAGTTTTCAATTAGATTCACAGCAGAATTCTCATTAGAAATGCTACAGGGGAAGAGAGAATGGAGAGATACCATCCAAGTCCTTAAAGGAAAAACACTGTCAGCCCACAGTATGGTACCCAGCTAGGTTCTCATTTATAAATTAAAGTGAGAAAAAGACCTTCCAAAACAAACAAAGCCTGAAAGGATATGCACCCCACCAGTCAGCCTTACAAGAGCTATGTACTGTACACGGAGACGGAGAAGCATCAACTTCACCACGACAGGCTGTTAAGGTGGAGAGCCCTCCTCATGCCCTGGCACTCTTTCAGTGGTAATGCCCTCCTCCTCGTTCCTTGGTGCAAATCTGTGCACACAGAGGAAATATTCGGTCATTTTAGGTAATCCATGTCAGGTAGCAGCTTCAGAAAAAAACTTTAGCTTGAAAACTGCTATGAAAAAAGAGTCCAAATTTTCAATTCAAACAAAATATATTGAGCTAAGTTGATTTCATGATGATTTGTTTTACTGAAGTGGTCCTACTAATTTGTTTTCCAGTGAAAGTGTACTGTATTTAATTTTCCTGAAAATGTGCAGGGGCTGGCTCAGTGGCTCAGTAGGCTAATCCTTTGCCTTGCAGTACTATATCCCGTATGGGTACCAGTTCATGTCCCGGCCACTTCACTTCTGATCTGGCTCCCTGCTCTGGCCTGGAAAAGCAGTGGAGGATGGCCCAGTTGTTTGGGCCTCTGCACCCACATGGGAGCCCTAAAAGAAGCTCCTGGCTTCTAGCTTCAGATCAGGTCAGCTCCGAGCATTACATCCACTTAGGAGGTGAACCAGCAGGTAGAAGACCTCTCTGTGTGCCTCTTCTCTCTGTAAGTCTTCCTTTCCTACAAGAATGAATCAATAAATCTTTAAGAGAAAGAAAACGCACAAAAATACTTTGTATTTATTTTTTATTGAGTTAGTTAACTAAGTTTATCAGAGAGACAGCCAGACGGAGATCTCCCATCTGCAGGTTTGCTTCCGAAATGCTCGCAGAAGTCAGGGCAGGGTCAGAAACTCAACTTCAGGTCTCTGACATGAGGAGCAGAGACCCAGCTGCTTGAACTATCAGCTCTACTACCTCCCAGGTAGTGCATTTACAGGAAACTGGCATTGGGAGCAGAGCCCTGGTTCTGATGTGAGCCCTGTGATGTGGGCCCTAACTACTGCTCTGTGCAGCCCCTTGCATCTCTCCAAACAGCATCTGAGTTTCCATAATTCTTTTCTTTTTTGTTTGTACTTTGCTTTTTTATGGTTAAGCATAATTTGTCTGTTTATCCCATTATAGGCTCTTGAAAACCACCTGCAACAGAAGCACTCTGCAGAGCTTCAGTCACTGAAAGATGCACACAGAGAGTCCATGGAGGGCTTCCGGATAGAAATGGAACAGGAGCTGCAGACTCTGCGGTTCGAATTAGAGGACGAAGGAAAGGCTATGCTTGGTATCTAGAAATGGCTATAATCTTATCTCTTGTTGCGATGGTGCAGTATTGCAGTTTAGGGTTCAACATAAAAGCACTAACTTTTACATTTTGAAACACTGAAATGAACATCAAAGTATGTGGTATATATGATTGAAACTGGCAGATAAAGGGGCAAGGAAGGTGGAGGAGAGTGAATCAAATACAAAACATCTTCTGCTTTCTCTGTTCTCTGTGTAAGCATGCCCACTTGTGTTGTCCTTCTTTCTCCCTGGAACTGGACAAAAGTCAGTACATTGTGTTGACTTGATCTCTGTGTGACCTTTAGACTATGTGTCCTCATACTGTGTAATCATACTGGAATTTCCTCTTCAGGATGTTGTTTAGTGAGCAAAACCATGATTAGCTTTTTTCTTTGATATTTGCGTGATTTTAAAGCCGACTTGGATATAAATTTTAAAACATGTATGGATTTACTTGTTTGTGTATCTATTGTGAAAGAGTTACAGAGAGAATTTTTTTTTTAAATCGATGTTCAGAATCCTTTTGTTTGCATCAGTCACCACTGAACGTTGACCTTCCAAACGCGAGTACTCTGACCAGCTTTCATCTTCTTGGCCGTGTCCATAACACTTCACCCTTTTCTCTTAATTTGGATCATTTCTCTTCCTGGTTTCCATGAAAGCATGCCATTCTTACTGTATGCCTGCTTTTCTGACCTCTCGTCTTTAATTTGATTTACCAGTCCTATTTCCATCTATTAAATATTGCTACTGTGTAAGAGGTCTATTTAGTATTTCTGTTTAATAATTCTGTTTCCCAGAACTGTTTAGCCATTAGCTTTCTGCTTTGTTTTTCATGTCTTCAACTTTGACTTGGTTGATTGGGTACACATGCATTGCTTCAAAACATGCACTGCTGACTCCAAATAGTGTTTCTAGACCTAATCTCTTTTCTTGTACATTAGACTTGAATTTCATCCAGCATGTTGGACAATTATGTATTTTTATATTAATGTTTTCACTGCTGGCTCACTGTGTTCTCATAGTCTAAAATTTGTTTCTCTTCCCTTAATCAATGGTATCACTGTTTATTCAGTTGTCAAAATCAAGAAAATAGAAGTTGCATTTGTGTTTTTTTCCTTTCAGTGTCACGTCCTTTCAATTAGTTCCTCATCTAGAATATTTGTCATTTGTTTTCTCTTTTTTGCTCCTTTTGTCGTAGTTAATTCATGATCATTTCTTTTCTCACCTGGATTAAGTTACTGGCAAAGCCATGTAACTTTCCTAAGTGGATTCCTTCCTCAACTTGATATAGAAATTTTAAAAATGGGAGGAAAAGAAGCCAGAAATTGGTTGCAGGCAGAGTTTTTTTGCAAAGTGAGCAAGTGAAGAAAAAAGGAAGAAAGGGGAAAACACCTCCTGGGAGGGATCCAGGAGATGGGGTGCCCCTTGAAAGGAGAGAGGTCGAGGTTTTAGGAAGTGTCCTGGGTTTTTAAGCATTTCCTGACTCTTCTTTGTCTGGGCAGAAACCTATGGAGAAGACATTCCCTATTGGTGGGCTCTCAAACAATTAGAAAATGGCTGGGCAGTTCCTGTGCTGCCCACCTGAAAGTGATTTTCCTGGCCACCTGGTGAGGGACAAAAGGTGACTTTCCTGACAAATGGCAAGTTACTCATTGAGATGTCAGGCTTCTCAGGGTTTAGATGCTGTCCTGTTTGCAGTATTCCCGGTATGTGCAAACCTGGGGCAGGGAGATGGTGGCCCAGGGAAGATAGCCTCAATAAGGTTTGCCCCCGGACTTGAGATAGGCTGACAGGCAGGTTGGATGTTCTCAGATTATTGCAGGTCTCCCTTGCTATCGACTGTTCTGCAGACTACAGCCTGGGTAAAGTTTGTAATACTTATAGCTCAATATGTGACTTCCCAGTTTAAGTCTTCCAGTGGTGACTGGAGGAGCCAAGGGACAGGGTTAGCCAATTAGTCATGAGGTGAAAGAAGTTGTATAATCTGGCATCTCTTAATCAGTTGGCACCATTTTGGACCAGCCTGACTTGTCCATAAAGAAACAGCATTTTTTCGTAGAAAACCACAAAGCCCCCTTTTCTGTAATGAGAGTGTCAACGCTCTTTGTATTTTGTATTATAACTGCAGTTATGGAGTTGGTTTGATCTTGAATATTGTCCATTTGTGAAGCTGTCTTTGATATTTGCTTTTATTTGAATGAAAAGCATTTGGTTAGAGCTAAACAGGCAGAGTTTAGTCCAAGGGTTAATGTGATCCACATGACAGCAAAGAAGGGAATTGCTAGAACTACCCTCCTATTTTTTGTTTTAAGATTTATTGTACAAGTTGGATATACAGAGAGAAAGACTTTCTGTCTGCTGATTCACTCCCTAAGTGGCCGCAATGGCCAGAGCTGTGCTGACCTGAAGCCAGGAGTTTGGAGCTTCTTCCGACTCTCCCTCATGGTTGCACGGTCCCAAGGCTTTGGGTCATCCTTAACCGCTTTCCCAGACTATAAGCAGGGAGCTGGTTAGGAAGCGGGGCCACCGGGATTAGAACCAGCATCCATATAGGATTCCAGTGTGTGCAAGACGTAAACTTTACACACAAGAGTACTTTGCTGGGTCCAGTCATACACTATAGAACCATACTGTTGTACAACCAATCTTCACAACTATTTTCATCTTACAAAGTAAACCTCTTCATGCATTAAAACTGCATTTCCTCTCTTCCCAGTCTGTGGCAGATTTGCCAGAGGAAACGCACAGCTAATTTCACACATCCAAGTCCTCTTTTCATGATTAGTTTACCACGAGCCAAAAAACCAGATGCAATGAGATATTAGGAGGTCCCTTATTCCAGCAGGCTAGGAATAGGAGCTGAGGTGGAGGGGAAGAAAAATAGAAGGGACACATCTGGTGGCAGGATAGGGGCTGCCAGGGCAGGGGAAGGGGGCAAGGTGGAGGATGGGAGAGAGCCAGGCAAAAAGAGAGGGAAGGGGATTAAGGGAAAGGAAAGGGGGAAGGAGAAGGGAAGAGGGCACGCATGACGGTTTACTTATAACAACCAGGTGGGCCTGGAAGATGTTGGGGGCCTGGGGAAGTTGGTTGGGAGGAGGGGCTGTGGGAGGGCCCCAAGGGACTGGTGACTCAGATTATCTGAGCCACAGGTAGGTAGATGGGACTAGGAGAAGGGGCCACAAGAGATTGTGGGGTGTGATTCTTGGGTCAGAGGCCACAAAGTTACTTCTCATTGGCAGATAACCGGAAGGGTGAGCAAACACACGTTTCGCCAGCTGTGGGAAAGGGGAGGCAGGAAGTGACTCGGGGTCCAGGATGGGATGTTTGAATCACTCCTCACAAGGTAGTTATGGAAAGGTTTTCTGAGGTTCAGCAGTGTGGCATAGCAAGTAAACTTGCCTACTGCAATGCCTGCATCCTATAAAGGTTGATTCAAGACTTTGCTCCATTTCTGATCCAGCTCCTACAAATAGCCCAGGAAAAGCAGTGGATAACGATCCAAGTGCTCAGGCCCCTGCCACCATGTGGGAGATCCCAAAGAGCCTTCCAGCTGCTGGCTTCAGCCTCGCCTTACCCCAGTCCTCTGCAGCTCTAAGAATGAACCAGCCAAGGGAAAAATATCTCTCTCTGTTTCTCTCTCTCTCTGTGCAGCTCTGACTTTAAAATAACTACGTCTTTAAAAAAATGGTTCTGAATATAGCCTATTTTCAGAAGAGTCAAGAAAAAATAAATAGGTGCTTGAGAGAGGCAGTAATTTGTACTTACCTTTGACATGAGTCTAACTTTATATATTGAGCAAGAGTATGTATTGTTGTGGTCCCCTTCCCTGACAACAGGCTGAAGTGGTGTAGATACTGGAGGCAGATCCATGTTGCCTGCTGGGGAAGGTGAAACAAAGTTGGTATGTAGGTAAGAGTTTTGGAAGGGATTCACTGGTTGTTGCAGGATGTGAACTTTGAATTGTGTGGCCTTGGGAGAGAATGGTTTTATGTTGTGTTTATATCCCCATGAAGAGGTCTGTTCTCCCAAGAGTAAGGAAGAGAGTGCTTGGGGAGGTTGGTGATTGGACCTTTCCTACTGTTATAGGAAACTCAATGCAAAAAAACAAAGACTAGCTTGGTTTTTGTCTCATGGGAAAGCATTTTTATGCAGACAAGTCAGTGTCCTCCTGCTGCAGCAGATAATGTGGAAAAGTGGTATCTCTTAAGTACAATTTTGAGAAAGAAAAAGGTAGCAGCCAACAACCAAGGGGGTGGGGACACTAAGCCCAAAGGGCCAGACTCCTACTCCTGTTGAGCTTATTCAAAACAAAAAGTTATCAGAAGGCTGTGTTTGTCAGTTTCTCTTCATTCTCATAAACTTGCTTTCTCATCATAAATTTGACGTCTCAGAGGAATGGAGATTGACACTTTGATCTGGTAAAAGATAGCTTTTGGGAAAACAAAAACTTTGCATTTTAATTTTTCTTTAGTTCTTTATTTGAAAGTCAGACATAGAGAGATGAGGAGAGACAGAGAGGAAGATCCTTAGTGCAAAATTCACTCCCCAAATGACTGCAATGGCTACAGCTGCGCCGATCCATAGCCAGGAGCCAGGAGCCAGGAGCTTCCATTGGGTCACCCACGCAGGTACAGGATCCCAAGGCAATGGGCCATCCTTGACTGCTTTCCCAGGCCACAGGCAGGGAGCTGGATGGGAAATGGGGCTGCCAGGACACTAACCAGTGCCCATATGGATCCTGACGCATGCAAGGTGAGGACTTGAGCCGTTCGGGCACCGCACCCAGCATTTTGCATTTTTTCAAAGAGACTTGCTATTTTTTTGTTAGAATTGGAAATTCAGGGGAATGGGATTCACATTCCAAAAGGGACTCCACCTAACTGCCCAAAAGTTGCTGCTGTTATGATAAACCAGACATCAGGAAGAACTCATTGCTTTGCCTTTCCAAAGAGCAAAACAGGGCAGAAACGTCTTGTGTATTTCTTCTTCTTTTTTTTTTTTTTTGGAAAGATTTATTTATTTTTTAATTTTATGCAGAAGGCAGATTTACAGAGAGAAGGGGAGACAAAATCTTCAAATCTTGCATTTGCTGGTTCACTCTCCAAATGCGCACAACAGCCAGAGATGAGCCAATCCAAAGCCAAAATCCAGGAGCTTCTTCTGGGTCTCCCTCGCAGGTGCAGGGCCCCAAGGCTTTGGCTCATCCTCTACTGTTTTCCCAGGCCATAAGCAGGGAGCTGGATAGGAAATAGAGCAGTTGGGACATGAACTAGTACCTCTGTGAGATGCCAGTGCTTGCTGGCTGAGGATTAGCCAGTTGAGCCATCACACCAACCCCAAGATCTTACACATTTCAAAGGGATTCTTCCCCCTGCCCCCCATTTCACCATGGACATGATTTTAACTAGTTACTACCCATCTTTATACTATTGGCACTAAAGTGTCTTTAGTAATGTGAGAGAAGTAACTTGCCAAGTTGGTTGAGGAATCTCTGGAAGGCCATTTGTGCAGGTTAAACTTCTCAGAGAATACAGTCCCACATTGTGTGTGGATGATTGTGAGGTTAACAGAGGTAGCAGCCCAGTCGTGGATGGAGCAGGAAGGACATGGTACACAGAAGAAACAGGGGCCATGCAGATCCAGCAAGGTAGAGAATTGCTGATGTGAAGAGGAAACATCTTTTTTTTTTTTTTTATTGGAAAGGCAGATATACAGAGAGGAGGAGAGACAGAGAGGAAGATCTTCCGTCCAATGATTCACTCCCCAACAGCCGATGCTATGCCGATCCGAAGCCAGGAGACTCTTCCGGGTCTCCCACATGGATGCAGGGTCCCAAGGCTTTGGGCCGTCCTTGACTGCTTTCCCGGGCCACAGGCAGGGAGCTGGAAGGGAAGCGGGGCTGCCGGGACAGAACCGGCGCCCATATGGGATCCCGGGCGTGCAAGGCGAGGACCTTAACCACTGCCCCACTGCGCCGGGCCCAAGAGGAAACATCTGTCCAAGGTTAAGGGAGGAGGGCAAATAGGGGAAAAAAGACAGTCTGGGGGGGGGGCGGTAACGTCAAAAAAGTGCTTTTCAGCCATAATTTTGAAGAGATGTCAGGAATAGCAAAGATAGAGCAAAAGTGAAAGGAGAGGTCTTTCAGGAGCGCTTTGGGAAAGATCTCAAAACAGCAGCATTAGAGAGGGAATGATAATAAAACAAATGATTGGGTAGATTGGGAATTAGGGGCTGAGGATGACAGGGTAATTTGGAATGAGTGATGAGCCACAGATCTTGGATGAGATGAAAGGAGACATTAGCTTGTAGACCACAAGAATAGGAGTAATTTGAGAAATACTTGAAAAGAACAATGAATGAGTCAAAACGAGAAGTTTGCCCAACATCCAGGAGCGGTCTCACTAGGTCCCTGGGTTTTTGAGGGGACAGAGGAGCCCAGGCACCTTTGGTTGTCTGCAGTCAGAGTCAATAGCCAGTTCTTCAGACTGCAGCTTAGGGGTCATCTGCTGGGCTGGACTCCAGGGAGGGGGAAGGGTGTTCCTGCACAGGACAACCCGCTTTCCAAAGGCTACACTGCCTGCTAGGACAGGTTTATTTAGGAAAGGGCCTGGGATTAGGGTTGGTCTTAATCCAGTTTGCTGGTATGACCACAAGAGAAACACGTTCCAAGAGGGGTAAATAGCAGGGCATACTGGCTGGGTTAGGAGGGGCTGGCTAGTTGTCAGGAAGGAAATGGAGCAGACTTATTGACACATCTTGCTCTCTTGCTGCTTATAGTCCGTCTGCTCTTGCTTCTACACATCTGCCCTTTCCCATTCCCCCTGCCATCTATGTGAAGACACAGACGGAGTTCCAGACTCCTAGCATCAGCCTGGCCCAGTCCTGACTGTTGCCATCATTGGGGGGAGTGAACCAGCTGATGCAAGATCTCACTTGTTGTCTGTATCTGTCTCTCTTTCTCATTATTTCAGATGAAAATGCATTTTAAAAATTTTTTTATTATATTTTTGACAATCTTTACATAGTTAATTGGGGTGAAAAGGTTCAAGGGCTACAGGAAAGTGGGTAAGACTATTATTTCCATATTATTTCCTTCATGGGGGGCGGTATTAAGGGAGAAGGCCCACCCAATTTCCCACCCTCCCCAGGTCCCGCATGTAGGGTATGCTCTGAGGTTCTGCCTCGGTTGGTTTTGATATTTCAACAGGTATGAATCGCTGCCAATCTTGCCACTTCAAGCACTATGAGGTCCTTGAAGAATCCACTGATTGACCTAATCCATCATAGAGTCTGTTTGCCCCATTTCACTGCCAAGATATAGCTGAGATAGTTGGTTGACCTGTTCTTTCTTCTCTCTTTTCTTGGTTAGAGTTCTGAGTCCAGCATTTTGATTGGGGAGATCTCCAAAGAAACTTTGTCTGAGGTGTTCTCAAACCAGATTCTTGTATGTGCTAGCAAGTACAGGGCCCAGCACAGTCCATGGCCCTGATCAGCTGGTGGTTGCAATTGCTGGGTTGGTTCTGTTTTCACTCCCGACTTCCACTGGAACCAATGGGTGTTGCAGTCCAGCCTGGTTCTGCCCAGCACATAATTTGTGGTGTATTTACTTTTATCTCAATTTGTATTATGCTTTTCAGTTGGGTATTTGAGTAAGTAGTTAAGACACTGCATGGAGTGCTCACATCCTGTTAATTAGAGGGCCTTGTTTGAACCCTGTCTGACTTACTTGTGATCCAGTGTCTTGCAGTGGTACACCCTGCAAGGAAGCAAGGGATGGCTCAAGTATTAGATCCCTGCTACCCACTTGGAAGACTGAAATGGATTCTGAGCTCCATGCTTTCCCAGCCCAGTCCCAGCCCCTGTGGGCATGTGAGGACTGAATCTTCAGAAGGCAGACCTCTATCTCTTGTCTTTCAAATAAAACTGAAAATAAATCAAAACCAACATAGTAATAATAATAATAATAATGGCTTTTCCACAAATCTTTGAATAAAGTTTAAGTTTCAGAAGATATCCACATATATTTTCTGAGATTCCTTAGGCCTGTTGTCACACAGATCTCGGTTTGAGAGACACAGGCCTAAGACTAAACTGAAAAAGACTTCATGCTAAAGCTGGCTCAGCCTGGATTCCATTTTCTCATTGACTGCCCATTTGCACTGTGGCCTTACCAAACATGGATTGGCAGGTAGAATTTTTTTGTCTGTTTTTACAGATATTACCCCTTCTTCCAGACAGCTTTTCTCTTTCTCTACATGGAGAACCACTGGTTGATATTTAAGACTTTTTGACAGTTACTGTGACAGTGCCTTTCTGATCATATTCTCAGTTTGCTTCTCCAAGGAAATGTAGGTACTTCCTTGGTATTCCTCTTGATTTTCTGGAATACTGTGTTCCCCCGTGGCATGTGCAGCTGTAAGAACTAGACCATGTACACATGCTTGCGATGAAAGAAACAAGACTACATTTGAACTGTAATATTACAGTAAGGTGGAGCAATCCACCATGGGGGGAGGGCACGGCGAGGGATTGGGGAAACATCAGAGCCTATGAAACTATGTTATAAAATAAATGTTATAATCTTCCATAAAATATTGTCTGGCATTCAGAAAAAGTAGGTTGTATGAAGGACTTAATCCTAAACTCAAAGAAATTTCAGGTCACTAAAAGTGTTTACCAGCTGTTATCACATCTTTTGGGGATTATTAGATTTCTTGTGTAGGAAGTTGCCCCATAAATGCTTATTATGATACCATTCATTTCCAAAATTGTTATTCTGATCAGTGAAATAGTTTATAATGATCTTCATGACTGAACATTGTGGTGTAGTGGGTAAAGCATCACCTACAAAGCAGACATCTCATATGGTTGCTGATTCAAGGCCAAGGTGCTCCAACTCCTTGCTATTACACCTGAGGAAGCAATAGAAAACAGCCCAGTACTTGGACCACTGCACCCACAGGAGAGACCTGGATGAGAAACTCGTGGTTCCTGGCTTTGGCATGGGTGGCCAGTGAGGAATGAACGAGTGGATAGAAAATCTCTCTTCCTCTCTCTTTCTGTGTATGTGTGTGTGTATGAGTGTGTGACAGTGCCTGTCTGCTGTCTCTGTAACTTTGCTTTTCAAATAAAAATCTTTAAGAAAAATTTCATCTTAATTAGTACTTTATTTGTAAACTTTGAGTAGAAATACTTGATTCACTTGTGCGTTTGAAATTTTTTTTAGATCCTCATCAAAGCTAGTTGAGCCTAAATTCATGTAACTATACAGTAGTCTATAATGTTTATATTCATTGTTAATAATCCATAAATAATGCAATGGGCCTATATACAAGTGTCCTAATGTTAAAATAATAGTCTGATGGTTTTATTGATTAAGTATCAGTGATATTTTTTCAATTTGTAACCTTTTTTCTTCTTGCTTTCCAGCTTCCTTACGCTCAGAACTAAACCACCAACACGCAGCTGCAATTGACTTGTTACGGCAGAGTCATCACCAGGAACTGGCAGCTGCTAAGATGGAGCTGGAGAGAAGCATAGACGTCAGCAGACGACAGGTCACTGGCATGTCTGGGGCTTTCTGTGACCGTTTCTTTTCTTTTTTTTATGATTTATTTATTTTTATTGGAAAGACAGATATACAGAGAGGAGAGACAGAGAGGAAGATCTTCCGTCCGATGGTTCACTCCCCAAGCTAGCACAACACCTGGAGCTGAGACAGTCTGAAGCCAGGAGCCAGGAACTTCCTCCAGATCTCCCACGTGGTTGCAGGGTCTCAAGCTTTTGGGCCATCCTTGACTGCCTTCCAGGCCACAAGCAGGGAGCTGGATGGGAAGTGGAGCTGCTGGGATTAGAACCAGTGCCCATATGGGATCCCGGCGCGTTCAAGGCGAGGACCTTAACCACTGCGCCATCACGCCAGGCCCTGTACAAGTTTACTTTTAAAGCAATGTTAAAATAGTTTGATTGGACATTTTAAATATCTCTTATCTATTCTTCATATATGCACAGAAAGTAAGTAGAAAATTCTGGGAATTCTATTTGCATTTTACAGAGTAAGGAGCACATATGTAGAATAACAGATCTACAGGAGGAGTTAAGGCACAGAGAACATCATATCTCTGACTTGGATACGGAAGTACAGCACCTTCATGAGAACATAAGTGCCCTAACCAAAGAACTGGAATTTAAGGGGAAAGAAATTCTCAGAATACGAAGTGAATCCAACCAGCAAATGAGGTATGCCATTACTTGCAAGAGAAGGGATGTGCAGCTTTCTCCGAGGCTTGTTGTCATTATATGTAGTTATGTGTGCCCTTTTTGTGACTTAGACTGTCACATATTGAAGACCATGTTTTATCTCATTCATATGGTATGACCCAGAACATAGAGATATTTTTATTTTTGAATGATGTTCTCCCGTGCGTTCGTTAACTTTTGAAACTATAAAATAGTTTGGAATCTTAATTTGAAAAAGCATTAAAGGAGACAACTTTAGCACAAGCTAGAAATTTTTAACAAAGTAAGTAGATTAATTTAGGCTGTTTGTATTCATTTTTTTGTATCATACCGAAAATAATTTTGAATCTGGTGTAGAATATAGAAAGATCTGAAAACTTGATGTCAGAATAACATTTTCTTAACTAAAAATAAACAGGTTGCATGAACAAGATTTAAACAAGAGACTTGAAAAAGAGTTGGATGTCATGACAGCAGACCACCTCAGAGAGAAAAATATCATGCGGGCAGATTTTAATAAGACTAACGAGCTACTCAAGGAAATAAATGCAGCTTTGCAAGTGTCGTAAGTTATATTATATTAAAGAAAATACATATGTGGATAAACTGAGGAACATGGTATCTAACCTAGGTTAGCCACTATTACAGTAAAATGATATTTACAAGACCGTAAGTGCTATATTACAGAGCATAAGTGTAGTATGATATATTTAATTTGAATAATGCAGTTCAATGATTATTTTCATCAACTCCTACTGCCATGATTCTATTAGAACAGTGTTCATCTGAGTAATACCTCTTAGAATTATTTATGAGCCATTATGGCATGCCAAAAGCTCAAATTGTGTCCATTATACAATGTTAACTAAAAAGAGCATGTCCTAAACAATAGGAATATAATATTTCTATATACATACTTAATACCTATTTTATAAAACATTAATATTTCAAAAATAAAGTATTAATGTTTCACAAAGAAATAAAAATTAAACAGTTATAATTTCATGTAGGGAGAGCAGTAAGAGATATTGAGGATAGGAAAGAACAAATATATATATTTTTTTATTTTGGATATTCTATTTATTTCAATTCCTACTATAAAATTTAATTGTTTCAAAGATTTTAAATATCAATAAAGAGAACAATGCAAATAATATTACTACTCATTCCTAATAAACTCAAATATTGTAATAAGCACAACCTTTCTATTTTGTGCCTGATGTTTAAAAATTATTTATTAGCTATGCCCTTTCAAGAGAGAGAAATTTTAAATCCCTGAAGTCAATACAACTAGTGTTCAGTCCAAATCTGTGGCCTAAGCTCTGATTCAGAATTAATCTACTCTGAAGTGCTGTTAGTGGCTCATTTATTCACTTTAGTCTCTCCCCTTCCAATCAAATGAAATAGCCTCATTCAAAAATATTATACAGATGCGTATGTGTGCACCCACACACTCAGACAAGTGACAGATGGTGTAACCCATCCCGTTGACCTCTGTGTCCAGGTCAGAACTTAGACCCTTGGGCTCCAGAGGGCCTTATTCAGCATCGTCCAGTAGCAACCCTTGTTCCCCATCAGCTGTCTGCATCAGTGGAACTGCCTTTCTTGGTTTCCCCCTAACACCTTCCTGTGTTGTCTGGCGTATTCTATGTCCCGTTACTATCTGATTACTTTACCGACATGTGATTTTTCTCCTATTTTGTCAATATAACTGGTTCAATCTCGTAATAAAACTGGACACACCTAGACAAGAGCACACCTACACATGTTCATGTTAACAAAAGTCTGCACCATAGGAGGCGCTCCAGTCTTGGCATTTGCTTAAATGTCGCATGAGATGAGGTGTTCTTCCTGATAAACATATGTAGAATCTTCTCTGTAGTCTGCCCTCAAGAGGTACTTCATGGATGTGTTTTTTGAGGATTCCCTATCTACAACTTTGCGAAGTCTCCCTGAGGAGACTCATGGGGAGATCATCACTTCCCCAAATGCAGGAGCTGTGTTTGATATCATTAGAAGTAATTCTTAAATCCTTTTCAGCCACTCTATGAGCTCCTCGCCTCACACATTCTGCAGAAATGAGATCAAGTATTCTCAGAGGCTGTCACTCAGTGCTGTTGGTTCGGCACAGGCTGAGAGCCTGGATTCTCCTTGGTGCTCACTGAACAGTAACCTCCCGCTGTCCCTGCTTGCTCAGCACTGGTAGTGAACAAAGGGTAAAGGTTATGTCTCTGCTTCTGTACCAATCTGTTTTGTTTGGTTTTGTACATTGTCACTTGTCAGTAGTAAGTAATGACTAAATTGTAACTGCTTTTAGCAAATAGCAAATAGATTTACTGGTGAATAAACTGTTTTATCTGTTTTTCAAGCCTCATCATTTCTTTTATGCTTCATGATCTATGCATAGCAGCTGTATTTCTTATATCAACAGAAACCTATGGCTATCCTGTAATTAATCTCTAGCTTTAGGGAATTACTGTTTTAAACACACACACACATTTATCTGACTGGTGCTGTCCAAGAGCTTTTCTTTTTTAATGAAAATGTTCCGTATCTGCTGTATACAGCATTCTAGCTGCTAGGCAGTAACGGTGACTGAGCACTTGCACCGTGGCGAATGAGTCTGACAAACTGAACTTTTAATAATTCAGATGTCTGTAGCAATACGGGGACTAGCAATTGTCCTGTGTAAAAGCACAGTTCTTGACTGTTGGCCATATTCTGAAATGCAGTGGTTTGGATTGAAATAGGTGATGGGCAGGCAGGGTTTGTTCCAGTTTATGGAACCGAAGGAAGCAGTGTCTGAACAATTCCTGACCTGTTCCAGAAGATGAAAGTACCCTGTTATTGACGTTCTCATCAGCAGTGCACTGGCCTTTAAACTTGGAAATCACAAAAATCCTGTGGACTCTTAGAAGGTGTTGGTTGTTGGTGGATGAAGAAACAGCCTGCCAGACCAAGCCCGGCACTGAGGAAGCCCTGGAGCAACTAGAAGCTTCGTGTTTCTGCTCTTGCTCCAAATTGCGGTGGACTCCAGGGAGGAGAGCATGATGTATTTACAGGATGGAAAGTACCCTCCGCATCTCGAAGGAATAGTGATAACTATATCTCTTACCAAGTGACTATTAGAAATTTTTCTCAATTTTGGATATCAACATCTTAGTTTTTTTGAGTTCTATATAAATTTTATTTTCTTCAGTGATATAATATTTTATCAGAAACCTTATATTTAATAAAATGTCATGTTTTTGTATGTTTTAGAAATAAAATGAAAGGTATTTGATAATCCAAATGATTTCTGCTATGGATACAGAAAGTTTAAAGTAAATGAAAATATTCTCTAGAACTTGACCTGACGGCAGATCTTTGTTATGTGTTAAAGGTTCAGAGAAGATTATTAGTCAAGTATACCGTACATAAGCTTCTCATCAGACATACTTTACATAAGCTTCTCACCTTGGTTAAACAAAAAGCATTTTTTCTTTGGAGAAGTGTTGAATTTCTGTATTTGGACTTAAAATGTCAGTAATCTCTTATTAAAGCATTCTAGCACATGGAATTACTTGTTCTTTGAAAATTTTAAAACCTTTTATTTATAATACCTCAATAATTTTTGTTATTGATATTTGATCTTACCACTTTAGGTTATTTTTCTTGTCATGAAAAGAAATAATCTTGTTGTCACAAACTAGAGCTGAACTCTGAGTTTATGAGAAAATAAAGGTTCCACATTAAAATGTGTCAATACTGTTTCCTTTATATAAGATTATAGAGAAGGGTGACAGTAAGTTCTTTCATCTTTATAAAGTCCCAAAGCGTATGTGTGCCTAATAATACTCTTGTTTGACTCTACAGTTTCAATTCAGTGATTTTTTTTTCTTGTCAGTTATTATTATTATTTTTTTAAAAAACAGAAAGGGGAGTCCCTATAGCTTAGAAACTTTTCTTTACAGTTGTTTTAGACATTTGCATTTTCATCTGTGTTGTTCATGAGCCATAGACTTTGATCTGTATATTCTCAGGGGAAAAAAAAATAACAAGTTTGGACGTGCATGCACACCTGGTGAGATCCAATGGTGATCCTAATTAGTAATTTTACAAGATCTACTTCTCCTTTCTGTTCTTTCTTTGTATTAGTTTGAATAGAATTTTGTATCTTGAATACAAGACTTGATGTACTTGTGATTTCCTAAGAGCAGTGCTTCTAAGACTTTCAGAAGTCTGTCTTTAGGAATGCAGTCATATCTGACTACTTGTAATAGTATTTTCTTAATATTTTGAACTAATTTTAACATAAAATGTATAGGAAAACCTGGTATCACTATTGTAAAAACATCACTACTGAAAAATCTCATTCCTTATGAAGTAGAAGCTAGGCTGTAATTATGTCAACTGTGTGGGAATAACACATTATTAATGTTTACTATTGATGCATAAGATCTGTCTGCATGTTGTGAAATAGGATTAAAAGCATTTGTTAGGAAAAAAAATTTTTTTAAAAAGCTTAAAAATTATCTTGCATAAAACCAAGTTGACATATCTGGTGTGGCTGAAGCAGTTGCCTGGGGAACCCACTGACCAGTGCTGGCTTTTAAGTGGATATTGGAATAGGACCAGGCTTTCTTCCAATTAGAATTTTAAAAGGTTAGTAAATACAGAAATGTGTTTGTAAACTAGCTCTATAACATATTACTTACTTGTTCTCTCCTTTAATGCTTTCCGAGTTGTATTTCTTTGGATTATGTTTCTTTAATCAATTATATTTTCTCTAACATCCAAATATCTTCCTTACTAATTTTTTTGGTGATGTAAAGGTATTTCCTGGAGAAGATTACTTGATAATGAATCTATAAGTAAAGAATGTGTATGTTAAATCAAAACATTTATTAAAACTTGGGTTCAGGGCTGACCCCTAGGCAGAAAACCATGATTCAGTGATAACAGCTGATTGTTTTAGACTCCCTTAACTTTTCATTAGGCTAGGACAAAATGATAGAAATAATAGTTTTCAATAAGGCTTTAGACTTAGCTTTTTAGCTACCATTTGTAACAAGTATTATTCAGTTGTAGGAAGCCGTTAAAAAATCTTGAATCTTGCATTTTTTTTAAAGATTTCTTTACTTTTATTAGAAAAGCAGACTTACAAAGAGAAGGAAAGACAGAGAGAAAAATCTTCCATCTGCTATTTTACTTCCCAGATGGCTCCAGTGGCCTAAGATGAGCGGATTCAAAGCCAGGAGCTTGGAGCTTCTTCCAGATCTCCCACCTGGGTGCAGGCCACAAGGATTTGCGCCATCCTACACTGTTTCCCAGGCCACAAGCAAACAGCTAGATGGGAAGTGGAGCAGCTGGAACATGAACCGGTGCCCTTATGGGATGCCACCATTTGAATGTTGAGTATTAGCCTTTTGAGCCATGACACTTTGCTTTTTCATGATAAAAGAAAGAGCTCTAGTGACATCATGTGGCTGCTTTGGTATAAAACCCAGATTCTTTTTTCTTTGACTAAATCAGTATTTCACAGTCTTTCTTAAAACCTTACCAATGAGAAAATCGGTGAGTAAACGCTGCCATATGATAATATGTAGGCCTCACTGTATGGGAGTTCAGTGAATCAAATTATTTTGCACTAAAACCTGCATTGCTACAAAACAGTGTAAGTAAAGAGCAAAATTTAAAGTACAGAGCTCCTGAGTACACAGCCAAATGTGTCATCTCCAGATGTTCAGTCTACGCTTAGTAGAGGATTTTCATGCAACTTAGTTATGCAGCAAGTCTGGGGACCCTGTGGGATTGGGAATAAGGAGACTGGGTCAGATCACTGATTCCTGGAAGATAGATCTTCTGAAAGTTACACAGTGTTAGTTGAGTGAATAAAATTTCTGTCAGCTTTTATTAACCGTAGAGTTTTTGTTTTGTTTTGTTTTGTTTTTAATAATGTATTTGGGTCCAGCGTGGTAGTGTAGTGGCTAAAGTCTTCACCTTGCACATTCTGGGATTCCATATGGGTGCCTGTTCTAATCCCAGTGGCCCAGCTTCCCATCCAGCTCCCTGCTTGTTGCATGGGCAAAGCAGTTGAGGACGGCCCAAAGCCTTGGGACCCTGCATGCACCTGGGGACCCGGAAGAGCTCCTGGCTTCGGATCGGCTCATCTCTGGCCATTGAGGCTGTTTGGGGAGTGAATCAATGGATGGAAAATCTTCTTTTCTGTCTCTCCTCCTCTCTGTATATCTGAGTTTCCAATAAAAAAAATAAACCTTTAAAAAATGGTGTACTTGGGCCCGGCACGATGGTGTAGTGATTAAGGTCCTCGCCTTGCATGCCCGGGATCCCATATGGGCGCCGGTTCTAATCCCGGCAGCCCTGCTTCCCATCCAGCTCCCTGCCTGTGGCCTGGGAAAGCAGACGAGGACTGCCCAAAGTGTTGGGACCCTGCACCCGCGTGGGAGACCTGGAGGAAGCTCCTGAGTCTTGGCTTTGGATTGGCTCAGCTCCAGTCATTGCGGCTCACTTGGGGGTGAATCATTGGACGGAAGATCTTCCTCTCTGTCTCTCCTCTCTGTATATCCGCCTTTCCAATAAAAATAAAATAAATCTTTAAAAAAAATGGTGTACTTATTTACTTGAAAGGCAGTATTACAGAGAGAGATAGAGAGCAATATAGAGAGCTCTTCCATCTGGCGATTCACTCCCCAAGTGGCTACTACAGCCAGAGCTGGGCCATTCAAAACCAAGAGCTTAGGATTTCATCTGGACCTCCCAGATAGCCACAAGGGGCTAAGCACTTGGGTCATCTTACACTGTTTTCCCAGGTGCATTAATGAGTTGGATCTGAAGTGGAGCAGCTGGGAATCGAACCTCTGCTGGCATGCCAGCACACAGGCAGTGGCTGTCCCCTTAACCGTAGTTTTAGTAGGCTTAAGTTCTAGCCTTTTTGTGCGAAAGCTGATAGGGTTTTCCATTGGCTTTCCCTTCAGTCTGCCCTTCCCTGGTTCTTGGACTGGAGGGCTGTGTCACATCTGCTCACTTGTTTGGATCCTCCGGGGCGGTCGGGTCAGAACAGGCCTGGATCCGCAGTGCATTCTCCATCTCACGAGTCTTCCACAGTGTGTATGTGTCCGTTGCACCCACAGAGTTGCTAAACTGCATTTCTCATGAAATGCATCTGAGTGTGTCCTCTGTCCCCCTTTCCTCCGTCTGTCTTTATTCCTTTCATAAATGTTATCCCGCCTTGTATCATCACACACATTCATGGTGAGAGCCCCTACAATAAATCTGCATTTCTAGCATTAAACTTTTGTCAGGTTAGTACTGTTCAACATGTTGTATCAGCTGCAGAATTCAGCTCGTTAACTCCAGATACTCTTGATATGTTAAAATGAGTTAATGTTTTTGAAGAGTGACCTATAAGACGCTTAGGAATATTCACAACTCATAAAGCCTTTAATGTAACCTCACAGCTTTTGGAGAAATCATGTCATCTTAAGTTTCAAAGAGAAAAATTTGTTTAAAATGTGTGTGTGTGTGTGTCTGAGAATATCGGTGAGCTAAAGATTTTTTTCTTTGTAGGTTAGAAGAAATGGAAGAAAAATACTTATTGAGGGAATCAAAGCCAGAAGATATACAGATGATCACAGATTTAAAAGCCATGCTTACAGAAAGAGACCATGTCATAAAGAAACTAATTGTAAGATTCTTTTTGTTTTTGGTGCAACCAAGTTACTAATCAATAGAACACCGTTCCAGGAAAACATGGAAAATATTTTTAAATAATGCTGATGGAAAATGGAATGTAAAAACATGGGCATTGTATTTGAATGTTTATTAAGATGCTTAGGAATGGAAGTACATATAAACAGTTTTTAAAATTTAAATTTGGCATGAGAATATGGAATTTTTTACTTTTTCTTCACTTTTTTAAAAAAGATAATCCTTTTGATAATACTACATGTTTAACAACAGGCATGTCATTGCTGAGACACAGATAACATGATGAAAGGATACATGCATGTGTATTGTATATGTAGAATCATAATTGGCTAGGCAAGAACAATCAGTGTGTTCCATGCAGTAGCCTACAGTGTACAGTGCTAGGTTATCCATGTTAAGTTCTTAAAATGTGTTCCACCAGACACAGATCTAAAGAGATTCCACTCTACACAAAAGGGGTAACACCAAGGTGTTAAGGGCTCAGACAAATCCATCAAGGAAGAAAATGCATATTTAACAGAAAATACACAGACTTCGTTTAAGCTGTTATTCCTCAAAAGTTTTTAAAAAATTGCACAATTGCTTTAAATTTCAAGAACCATTTCACTTTTCAAAAATGATATGCCCTTATAGAAAGTTAAAATACTGCCCTGTAGTGCCACTCTCAGATGAAAATCTTTCACAGTAAAACAAGAATTAGAACACAAATCACTGTGTATGCACTGGTTTTTGCAGCTGGAATCTGGACATTGGTGTAAGACAGTACAAGAATAACCTTTATCGCTGAGGCTTTTTTCCTAATGTAGCTCTTACCATGTAGGAAGGTCAACCTGTGTTCTAGGACTAGAATTTCCTTGGAGAAAACAACAGGGCACATTTGCAGTTCATGAAGAACCCAGGCGCAGACTTTGGAGACATAGGGTGCTTGTTCTGCACCAACCACCCATTTCTGCAAGCATGGTGAACATGTACACAGGACTCATAGATCATTCTGTTTGACAACATTCGCAAAGGATTACTCTGTATGTCACACATGAAATTAGCATTCCTAGTAAGTGACTTTCTTCCTTGATTCATAGAAGTAGCTATTGATTTTGCAGTTCTTACACAAGTGTAATGGGATAGATATTAGACTTAAAAGAGCCAAGTAACTTTGCAAAATAGCTCAGCTAGTGGGAGCCAGGGCCAGCTTTAGCCACAGGTGGTTCATACTCTTCACAGCACCCTGATGGCACAGAGGAAGTGATGGTCGGTGGTGACTGAAATGGTGATGAGGACTCCAGATGTGCACAGCCCTGCATCCTCACATGCTCTGTGAGGAGGCCTTCTATCCAGTTAAGGCCTTCCCACATTCTGGTTATTCAGTTAGCACAAGCTGGTTGATGCAGCCTGGGACAGAGACTTTATTTCTGAGTGGGGAATTTTCTTTTCCCTCTTCATTGATTAACAATGCTCTGTTGTGTTGTTGTGTCAGGGAGATTAGGCAAGAATCTAATTTATTTCCAGAACTGAGGAATAATATTTCATAATGCCATCCTGCTGTGTGAAAACAATGCAACCACACTTGCAGCCCAGTGAATGCAGGTCAGACCAGCCCAGACTGCAGAATTAAGCTTGGGAAACAGAAACAAACAAAGCATTTAGATCAAGTTTCAGAGGAAAGGGTATTACAGGATAGAGTGCCCCAGCACAGGGTTTAAAAGGTATAGAAAACTTACCCTCCAGCAGCTTTTAAAACCTTGACAATCAGCTGAAGTTTAGAAATCTTTGAACAGAAAAAAAATCTTCATTCATGTTTTAAATTTTGTATGAAATGGCACTTACACATTAAGTTTTAAATATTCAATAGAAAATGTTGAAAAGATGTTTATATTCTTTTGCATAGGAGGATAATAAATTTTATCAGCTGGAATTAGTCAATCGAGAAACTAACTTCAACAAAGTGTTTAACTCAAGCCCTACTGTTGGTGTTATTAATCCATTGATGAAGGTATGTGCTATAGACATATGAAATAGGAATGTGGCTTAACATTTTATTAAAAATTTGTGAAGCATTTGGAGAATAGGATAAAATTCCCCCAAAATGTTTTCTTATATCTAATTATTTCACACAAAAATTTATGAATTCTTTATTTTCATAATGAAACTGTTAATATTCTTTTGTTGTTCTTTCAGACTCCTTAAAACAATACTTAATACACTTAACATAAAGCCTTGGTTTTATCATTTTGTTTTATTTTGTTTTTCACATTACTGAAGAAAACTGAATGTCCTTCAGTTAGTTGCTTGTCATTGCCTAACTGATCCTACTTGTTCAGGGGGTCCAAAAAATACTTACTGTGCACATACTTGTTGCTTGGCAATAATCAAAGTAGAGTTTTCCTGCCCTCAGTCCAATGAGTGTTGTTGACAGCTCACATTGACATGGTATGTTCTGATACTCTGTGACTTTCTCAGGACTGGATACAAGAGCCTTGACATGAAGTGTACCTTGGTATCCCAGCTTCCTAGGGCTCCTGTGCAGTACTTTGGGCACAATGGGTATTCAGTATCTGTCTAGTTGAAGAGTTTCATCACATTTTCTATAAGCTACCACAAACTATCCTGTAAATAAAGCAAGTAACATAGAATGGATTATATATGCATTGGCTTCCTAAGGCTTAGGAATCTTTTGATAGAAGTCAGTAGAACACGTGAAGGTGCTAGTTCTAAAGCACTTTTGTTGGTTTAAATTTTAGTAAGTTTCACATCATGCCTGCTTTTATTGGGAGCTTTACCCAGAAATTTTGCTTTCAAAGCTTATAAAACATCTCTTCTGGGGACCCTTAATCCAGCCCTCCTTCACAGATTAAAGGCTGCAAATGTTAAGCATGGATGTTCTGTGCAGAGCAAAGAGTATAGAGGTGTCTGTCTCCAGAGCCTCATCCAGCATCTAAGTTCAAAAATTAGGCTAAAATAAACTTTTAACTGTAAAGTAAGATTATAAGTACTTTTTTTCTTTTGAAAGGTAGATTTATAGAGAGAAGGAGTGATAGACAGATCTTCCTTCTGCTGGTTCACTCACCAAATAAACAGAATGCCTGGAGCTGAGCTGACCTTAAGACGGAAGCCAGGAGTTTCTGGGTCTGCCATATTGGTGTAGAGACCCAAGGCTTTTGGCTGTCTTCTGCTGTTTTCTCAGGCCATAAACAGGCTGGGAAGTGGAGCAGCCAGGACAGGAACTGGCACCCGTAGGTGATGCTGGTGCTTGAAGGTGGAGGATTAGCTACTTGAGCCATTGTGTTGACCCCAGATGAAAAGAAGTATAGAAACAAGATGCACTATATCTTTTTTTTTCTTACTATTTGATTAGAATTATAGTTTTTAGCTATAAAACTGTTACTGTAGAATACCACTAATGATACTTTTAATTTCTTAGAATAGAAATATTAAGTAGGTTTAACTGTGCCCTCTGGTGACTAGAATAAGAAAAAGCAAGACACATCTTTGTAAGAACTTTCAAGCTCTTGTTAACCTTTGTAGTGATTTCAGTCTTCACCAGTAACTCTGAAGAACACTTTTTCTCGGTGTGCTGTGAGTCATAGAATATAACCTGGAGAAAAATGTCTAGAAACTTATTTAGTAAGTAAAAGAAAAGTTTTTGTTTTGTGCATTATTTTTTTTTTCAAAGTCTGGAATCATTTAGCAAAGAAAATTTTCATAAGTAGTTACATCTAATGAGAAAAATGTGAAGAATTTTTAAGTCTTTTACAACATGCTGGTCTTTATTCCGCACAGGATGATGCTCATTGAGTCTGCAGGTGTGAGTAAGGGACTTGAGACTCCAGTTAATGATTTGTAAGCTGATAGAGTTCAGCAATCTATTTACAATCTCTTATTGTAAAGATTGATATGAAAATACTGATTACTTTTATTTTAAAATCTTTTTAGAAAATAATTAATAATATTGCCAATTAATTGTGAAATTGTGGATTTAATTTCCTCCTTTCACAACGATGTCACAGTGTACTTAATATCTAAACATCCACTGAGTAATCTTTAGGTCTTAAGTAGAAATGTGAAATTTGCTTTAAACTACATTGCCAAGCATTTTCTTATTGCTTTTTTTTTCTAGGCAAGAACTGCCTCCCTTTGACAGATGGCTAAAGTTCAAGGACCTCTCTTAAAATTATATTTAACTTCACCCTTTTTTTCTAATTTAACCTAAATTCATTTAGCCTTGTGATATTTGCAAGAGCTCTTCTTCCCGTCGTTCTTTCCTTCCCCCAGTGTTCTCTTTATCCGTTGGCATTCCGCCTTCCTGATGGTTGAGCCAGGAGTGACCCACTCTCATACATGGCTCCCTCCTTCCTTCTGTCCTGGTAGCGTGCCTGTCTTTGAGGATTCCATGTAGATAAGAACACCTCCAAGGATCCAGACCACACTTTGGGTAACACTAGTTAATTATTTTAACATGCTAACCTACTTAAAACTGCCCAGATTTCCCCGTGCCAAGCTTACATCTTGTGCCATTCCTATTTTTTCTTATTTATTCTCATGTAGGGAATGTCCTCACATGTATTATTTTTAATGCAGCAAAAGAAGAAGAATGATAAATCACCAACAAACAGGTTTGTGAGTGTTCCCAATCTCAGTGCTCTGGAATCCAGTGGAGTGGGCAATGGACATCCTACCCGCCTGGATCCCATTCCTAATTCTCCAGTCCACGACATTGAGTTCAACAGCAGCAAACCACTTCCACAGCCAGTGCCACCCAAAGAGCCCAAGGCATTTTTGAGGTGAGCCCGCCTCACCAATGATTTTTTTTTCTTTTTTATCTTGAAAAATGCATCTTCTTGAATTGCCAAAATATGTTCTGAGAACAATGTAAGAAAAATAGTACAATGAAATATTTCCAAAATAATTTTTGTCAGCTCTGTAGGGAACTTTTTGTCTCTGTTAAAAAGCAAACAAACAAACTTTTTTTCTAATTTCTTGTTCATCATTTTTCCAAGTAGTAAAAGCAATGCCAGTGTAATTCATATGCTTAGAATTTTAATATCTGTGAACATTGATTCATTGTTAGTATTATCACATTTTTTTCATTAATAACCCATCCTGATGGAAGAACTATACATTTTTAATAATTTATTAAATGTTTTTTGGTTCTTAAATAGCTTGTTTTTCCCCTTTTTTGTTGATAAGTTTTACTTATAAATATGTGTAGGCATACCACCAAAATAAATATATAGGTTCTGGGAAGTAATGGTATGGTTAAGCAAAATACTAGGTTAGGAAAACCAGATTTTAAAATTGGTATTTCAATTTTGTTACCTCAGAGTTGTTGATTAGATTGCCTAACAAATAAGTTTAACGTGAAATGCAGTTGGTTAGCCATCAGATAGTCAAAGTCAGAGGTACTGTTGTCTTATAGTCACCTTAATATTATTTAAATTTTACTGCTTTAAATTTATTTTTTTAATTTTTAATAAATCTCAGCAGTGGCACTAATACCAATCTTGTAAGCAGACAGGCCTTTTTTAATGTCTAGTGATAAGTGATATTGTTAATGACTAGTGATGCTGTTAATGAACCATAAAACAATAGTAAGAATGAAAACTAGTGAAATGCACATCTGAATGTGATTCCTGCTGAATCCTGTGTGTTGCTTATTTCCCCGTGCATGGCTGCGTTCAGGCATCAGTAGGCTGCATGTGCATGAGCTCAAGGACATGACTGCTGCAGTTCCCATTGCCCATTGTCGCGTGCCTTGTAATTTCCCCCGAAGACGGTAGGGATTCTTTTGCTTTCTCAAGTAGTCAAAGAACTTTTCATTAGCATTACGATAAGTGTAAATTACATGTTTTTGAAGATAGAGGATGTACTCCATTTCCTGGAGTATTTGCTTATGGAACTATGAAATCAAAGCTCAATATAATTATGCATAGAGTAAAAACCACAAAACCTCTATTTGATTTTTTTAATTTAGTTATATTTAACAAAACATCTATAAAATCAAATGCTTGTGTCAGATTCTGAACTTTTACTTAATTGACTGAAAGGAAAAAGGTGCTGAAAGAGAGGCACACTGTCTTAACGCTCTCTTATCTCCCGCCATCATCCCGGATTGTTTTTATCCCGAGGCAGTCTCATCATTTTCCTCAGTTGTTTGCCTTTGGTCTTCCTGTAGTCGTGATGTGGCCCCTCTTTCACTGAATTCATCTGAGTTACTGATGCACTTGCATGAGCTCCTGGAGTATAGAACTGGAGCAGGTGTGTGAAACACACTGGAGCAGGTGTGTGAAACACAGCTTGTAACATGGGCATCCAGTTTGTAATGGTCTACAGGGATGTGTGATGTGCTTTTCCCTTCATTTTGCAAAGCCGCTGGGTTACGTGTCTCTCTTTTTATGAATTTAGTCCTCCTCAGAGTGAAGCCTCCCCGGTGTCTTCTCCAGATCCCCAGCGCCAGGAGTGGTTTGCCCGGTACTTCACGTTCTGAGAAAACTGTCAGCACAGCTCCCGGTGGACTGTGACTGAGAGCATGACTTTATACAAACCATGATGTGAACAGGCTTCCCCAGGTCAAACACTGTGAATGAGAATCTGTCTGTCTCTCCAAGTTCACCATGCGTTCACTGTATTTCCTCTGATGTTCATTGGAGTCATTCCCTAAGGTACTGTATTATGTGTGTAATTATAACATTTATTTTTATTTGAGATGGAAGTCTTTAACCTTTGTAATTACTGCATAATAAATTTTGTTAGAACAAACAACAATGCTTTCCATTTCCTTCTGGCAAATGTGCTTTAATTTATAGGTGCTTTTTAACTTAGGTGAGATCAGAAAAGTTTTACTACATAAATAATCATCTGATAACAAATTTATATCAAATTGGCTATTGATTTCACTAATTGTAACAAAATAAGAAAAGAGAAACATAATTTATTAACTTGTCCCATCATCATGTTAATTTTGACAAATTGTTCTGTAAGTTACTAGAAATTGCTGACAAGGATTAGTTGATTAGTGCTGTGCAGGTGACAGTGCCAGATGCGTCACAGAAAGATGAAAACCCTCTGTCCTCAGTGAGCTAGCTTGAACATGTGCTGCAGAAATCCAGAAACATTTCTTAAAGCTGTATCACACGATCAGCAGACGAGATTTATGGGGAATACAACATGGAGGAGGAAATTTTCTACTTAAATAGAGGCAGGGAAAAGCCGACTTGGAAGGAGTATCCAAGTGTAATATGTTAATAAGAGTAAGAATTTATCACACAGACCAGAGCCATTGTAGTTAGAAGCTGAAGCAAGAGTCAAGGAAGAGGGGTGCATGGTGTGGTACTGCAGGTTAAGCTGCCACTTAACTGCCCACATCTCATATCTGAGTGCCAATTCTGGTCTCACTTTCTCCACTTCCAATTAATCTTCCTAGTAATGGCCTGGGAAAAACAGTGACAGATATGGGCCCTTGCCATCCACATGGATGAAGCTCCTGTCTTTGGCATGGCACAGCACTGACCATTGTGGCACCCTAGGAGTGAACCAATGAGTGGGAGTTTTCTTTACCTCTCTCTGAAACTGTTTGAAAATAAATGAATCTTTCTTAAATCAACAACAAAAAAGAGGGGCATGCAAAGGTTTAACTACCTCTTGGGATGCCGACATCTCAGAGTGCCAGTGCCAGTTCCAGCTCCATGTCAAATTCTGCCTTCCTACTAAATCATTCTGGGGGCGAGAGATAATGATAAAGTGCTTGGTTCCCTGCCACCCACGTGGCAGACCTGGGTGGACCAGGTTCCTGGCTTCAGACTGACCCAGCATTGACTGGTGAAAGGCATTTGGGGAGTGAACCCTCAAACAAAAGAATGTCTGTGCTTTTTATGAGAAGGGAAAGAGGGAAAACAGAAGAGGAAAGGAGGAGAAGATGACAGCGGGGGTGGGGGCGGGGAAGGAAAGGGAAGGGAAGGAGAGAGCGCTCAAGCAGGCTGGTGGGAAGTGAAGGAAAGGAGAAGAAACAGGGAAGGGATGGAGAGGGAAGAAGAGAGAGCAGGCTGGCAGAGTCCTGAGGACTCTGCATTTCTGTGTATGACACGTGTAGAGCTCTGCTTCCAACTTTTGGATACCTACTTTGTATCAGATATTTCAGGGTTTTTTTGCATTTTTAACCCTTCAGCACCCAGTGCATGTGTGCATGCATATGCATGCATGTGTAAACACACACACACACACACACACACACACACCTAGAAGGGTTGTAACTGTCCCTTCCATTATGCTTTAAGGGTCCTTGAATGTTTCATAAAGAATTAACCTTGATCCCCCCAGAATTTTTAACAGGGTCAGGATTAGATTGAAATGTAGGCGAAGAGAGAAGAAGTCATAATGATTGCAACTGGTTCCTGAGAGTTAGGGACCTAACTAACATCAAAATTGATTGATAATGTATTGAGTTGGCCATTGTAAGGACTGAACTGAAGAACTAGAGGATGAAGAAAGGGGATGAAGGTGAGAAGACAGAAGATACAGAATTGGTGAAGGTAAGTGACAAATACATACAAACAGAAAGGAAATAAAGTATGACCAAAAGATGAAGTTTTATTTCAGATGAGTTGAATAAAAGTTGCCCTATAATAATTAACAGGCAGATAAACATAAGCATCTGGAGGTGGGAAAAACCTGAGCTGTATGTATTTTGCAAGCATGACACCTACATGGGAGATAAAACTGCAGATGTTGATGAGAACAAGGAATGCAGTGACGTATGGAACTTAGGAGATACCAACATTTAAAGGTCAGGTAGGACCTGAATGAAGAGAAGTGTTCTAGATCCAAACAAGCAGGGGGTTCTGGAAGAAGAATGTTTCAAGAACAGCTAACCAGCAGCGTCAGAGTCAGCAGAACTGCCCTTGGCTTTGGCAGTTGGAAGATGGTCTGAGGAAGGGCAGATTCAGGGCAAAGGTGGCAGTGGATGCCAGACTCCAGGACAGTGAAGGACACCAAGGAGATGGAGACTGAAGAAGCTTAGCTAGTGGGGAGACAGAAAGAGAAAGTGAAGGGACAGACTGGGGTGCAAGTTGAGAAGGCTTGTTTGTATTTTTCAGAGACTTTGTTATGCTTTTAAGCTGCAAAAGGATGGCAGAGAGAATTTAAAGGAATAGCAGAAAAAAGCAAAAATTATAACAAGTTTTATTGTCACTGGGTTATGTAGTGATAGTAGTAGGAGAAGGTGCAAAAAATGTTATATAAACGGTTAACATTGCAACTGGAATAGTTTCAGTAAGCTTATTTTTTTTTTTCCTTACTTAAAAAGCAACCTGAACTCTTAGAATCTTTGGAATAAAAGGCCTTAATAGCCATTTCTTGCAGTCTCCCACGGAATGATTATATCTGGTATATAATTCTTTCAGGCTTTGAATGTGGTCCCATAAAATGTGTTGATGGGCCTGGCATGGTAGCCTACTGGCTAAAGTCCTCACCATGCATGCACCAGGATCCCATATGGGTGCCGGTTCTAATTCTGGTGACCCCACTTTCCATCCAGCTCCCTGCCTGTGGCCTGGGAAAGCAGTAGAAGGCAACCCAAACCCTTGGGCCCCTGTACCCACGTAGGAAACCTGGAAGAAACTCCTGGCTCCTGGCTTCAGGTTAGCTCAGCTCCAGCCATTGTAGCTGCTTGGGGAGTGAATCAGTGGATGGAAGATCTTCCTCTCTGTCTCTCTTCTTCTCTGTATATCTGACTTTCCAATAAAAATAAATAAATCTTTTTTTAAAAGTATGTTGGAAGCTTCTGCCCCAATACAGCAATGTTGGGAGATGGGTCCTGATGGGAGCTGTTTAGGTGGTAAGGGCCCCACCTTTATGAATGGTGAGTGTGGAGACCAAAGAACTTCAGGTCACAAGCTACCACTGCTCTCCTGCTCCTCTCTGTCCTGACCTCATGGATGACAGCAAGAAGGCCATCACCTGATGCTGGACTTCTTGCCTTCCAGATCTGTAGGAAATAAACGTCTTTTCTTTGCAACAATATCCAGTCTGTGGTATTCAGTTGCACCAATACAAAACAGAGCAGGACACCATCCATCCCTAATGAACCTGAATACCTCCAATGATGGCGAGCTCCTTCCTATGAGCCAGCCAGCACTGTCTACCCCCAAAAACCAGCATCTTAAATTCAGTGACTCTGTCACCTGTGCCGGTGATAAAGTGATATGTGTCATATGTGCCAAGAAGATCATATGAAAGATGAAAGTTGCTAGAAAGGTAAGAAAATGGTTGTCTGGAAAGCAGACATGTAAATAACACTGGAGAGAGGATTGTCATGGGGTGAAGATGAGAGAATATTGTTCATATTGAAACATCACATGACTGCTCTTTGGCCATCTTCAGCTGCTTAGGTACTCATTTTATAACAAAAGCAGGTGTATTTCAAAAATTGTTCTTGAAGTAACCTTTGACAAAGAGGAAATAATCACTTTTTAAAAAAAAAGATTCATTTATTTATTAAATTCAGATATACAGAGAGGAGGAGAGACAGAGAGGAAGATCTTCTGTCCGATGATTCACTCCCCAAGTGAGCGCAACGGCCGATGCTGTGCCGATCCGAAGCCAGGAGCCTCTTCCGGGTCTCCCATGTGGGTTCAGGGTCCCAAGGCTTTGGGCCATCCTCAACTGCTTTCCCAGGCCACAAGCAGGGAGCTGGATGGGAAGTGGAGCTGCTAGGATTAGAACCGGCGCCCGTATGGGATCCCGGGCGCGTTCAAGGCGAGGACTTTAGCTGCTAGGCCACACTGCTGGGTCCGGAAATAATCACTTTTAAGAACTTAGGATTCTGTTAAAAATTTTCATGAAGAAAAATAATTACCATGTAAAGCAATGGTTTTTAATTATGCTATTTTTATAAACAGTACAGGCTGTTTGCTTCAGTAATGTCAGGGCCCCTTTGCCAGACAGTGTTACTCTGTGAGCCTCAGAAGAGCCGAGGCATCTGTCTGGCTAAGTTCCCCTGTGAGTTTTGCTGCACTTGGTCTACTAAAATGGTAGAAGATTACAGATGGCAACTGGAGATTTCCCAGTCCTCCTGCATGAGACCTCAAGACCTGTACTTTAAAAGTTTGTGCTTGCCAGAGAGGGGGCCCAGCACAATAGCCCAGTGGGCAAAGTCCTTGCCTTGCAAGCGCCAGATCCCTTATGAGCTCCAGTTCGTATTGTGGCTGCTCTACTTTCCATCCAGCTCCCTGCTTGTGGTCTGGGAAAGCAGTCAAGGACAGCCCAAAGCCTTGGGACCCTGCACCCGCATGGGAGACTTGGAAGAGGCTCCTGGCTCCTGGCTTTGGATTGGCTCAGTCCCGGCCGTTGCGGCTGCTTGGGGTGTGAGTCATTGATGGAAGATCTTCCCCTCTGTCTCTCCTTCTGTCTGTATATCTGCCTTTCCAATAAAAATAAATAAAAATCTAAAAAGGTTTGTGCCTACCAGCGAGGAATATTAAGAATCTAGTGTCAATTTGCACAATCCTTAAATTTAGTACTATTTTAAATTAAAAATAAGCAGAATAAATATAAGTTTTCATTACTTTCTAAGCATTGCAAAGAAAATATTCTTCGGGCCCGGCGTAATGGTGCAGTGATTAAGGTCCCTGCCTTGAATCCCCGGGATCCCATATGGGTGCTGGTTCTAATCCCCACAGCCCGAGGACGGCCCAAAGCCTTGGGACCCTGCACTCGTGTGGGAGACCCGGAAGAGGCTCCTGGCTTCGGATTGGCTCAG